TACCTCTACTACTACTAACAACCACAACAACAACAACTACTACTACTACTACTAGTACTACTACTACTGCTGCTGCTGCTGCTACCACCACCACCACCACCACCACCACCACCACTACTACTACTACTACTTCTACTACTACTACTACTACAACACTACTAGTAGGTGCACGGTCTGCAATCGCTCGTGGATTTTAAGCTTGATTTCGGTGCCAAAACTGGGGTTTTAAGCGAATCCAACATCTTGACGTGGCAAAAATCTAATGTTTGCGGAGTAGTTTTTTGGTGCCTTTTTCTTGGAACTGACCCATCAGGTTTCATCGTCAGAAAATCCAAAAAATCGATGCTTTCTGAAAACGAGCGTGTTTGCTACCGAAGGTTCTGAGCAGATGTAAAACATGTAGGGTTCTTACAGCGGCCGGACGCGGACTGCGGTCCTACTACTGCTGCTGCTGCCGCCGCTGCTGCTGCGGTTACTGCAGCTACTGCAGCAAGACAGCTGCTACAACTGCTGCTTCAACCGCCTGGTTTTATTCTAGTATCCCTGCTACATACTGCTACTCAAACTTCTTCCTCTACTGATGAATGCTGATGTTACATATCTATGATTGCTTACAAGGATGGAAGATGGCCAGCGATGCACGCGTTCTGCGGGGCTCCCTGGCTTCGGCGTTCCCACCGGTGCTGCATGTCATCTCACAAGCGCAGCCTGGCAAGGCAGGCGTGTGCCTTGGTCAGCTTCATTCATTCCTGGCTCTTTGAAGCTTACAGAAAATAGCTAGGAGACATGCTGTTTCAAGGTTTTTTTCTTTGTTGCAATCTATGCATTGCCGCGGTTACAGGTATCAAATACTTTGGGATGAGTATTTGAATGGCCAGCCGGTGTGGGGTCGTGCAGAGCCGGGCGAGAGCAGCTTGCTTTACAGCTCTTGCGACGGATTCTGGTGCATTTCCCGACAGGCACCTCGGAAAGTTTACCAAACACCAAAGCCTATTTCAAGATTTCCTCCATTTCCTGGCATGTCCTGGAGGTTTGCGACAGGCACAGCAAATGCTGCATGGGCAGTGTTGCATCGCTGCAACCCCACGGTGGTTCGATGCCCCACCTGTGCTATGAGGGATGGCAGGTTCCGGGCAAGCCTGACCAAACTTTCTTCACCTCTTGCTGGAAAAAACGCACGGCCCTTCAGGTGAAGCGCGAAAGCGGATGGGATGCGGACTCCAACCTCCTGGTTCAAACCAACCCGCCAGAAGGTCCTGCAGTCTTACACGTCACCTCAGAGCTGGGCGAGCACATTTCTGGCAAGTATTGGCTCGTAGAAGGCGGGAGGCTCTGGCAACAAGCTTGTATAATGCGGATTTGCTCTCATGCTCCCACTTTGTTGTGTCTGCTGCTGCAAGGTGAGTTTCGAAACCATCGACACGTCTGGAAACGTGCCAGCTCTGCCGGCGGACCCTGGATCTCCAGCGGCAGCGATGGCTCCTGGTTCCTTCATTGCAGTCCTTCGTCCTTGTCGCCTGCACATGTCGGTCCTCTGGAAGTCACCTCGCTGCGTGGGGACTCCTATGTGACTGGCGAATACTTTCCTGTGGAAGGTGTGGGTCGCTTCTTTTTCTAATGACTTGCTTGATCCTGCCTGTATATCCCATCCTGTCTTGCAGGTCAGGAAGGTTGCGCATGGAAGTTACGTCGCGCAAGAGATTCTGCGGTCTGAGCCGCTGAAGACGAGGTTAGCCCCGCTTGTTTGATATTTCCCTGGGAAGTGAATAGAGGGCAGGAGATAATGTCTGAACGACCGCGAAGCGGTGCCATTGGTTCTGGCGCAGGTTGCTCTCCTGTTTCAGACACTGTCTCAAGAATCTTTTGTTGAGCAGAATTATACTTCTCTGGCGGGCTCTTTGAGAATCCTTTCATCATCTTCCCTTGCGAGAGCCGCCTCGCCAGCGCTTCTGCTAACGGCTCTGCAGTGTGCCTGAGGCACTGCAGCTTCCACAATTTAGCTCCAGTCTTAAGTGCCACGAAGATGCGGCCGCTCAAAGTGACCATTTCATCAATCGTGTACAAAGTTTAGGTTTGCCCGGACAGCCCTGAATCAAGAAGAAAGTGCCTTGGAGCGGGGCAAGAATGACTTAACTTGTATTAATCACAGAGTGCTTGGCAAGCTGTATTTGATCCGCGCTCGAACAGCTATGGTTTTCAGAGCTCGATGACATCATTGATGCGGTACCCGGGTGCCGTCCACTGTTCACTTCGTCACTTGAACTAAAGCCTTCTCCTGACAAATCACGTGTTGTATTTGCGCTTCGACAACGTGTGTCGTGCACCAAGATCTCGTGGCATTTCTACCCGGTAAAACGTCAGCCGGGCGACAAGTTCTGTCGAAGGACGAACGTCCGGCTTCTGTTTTACAAACGGCTTCTGTTTTCAAGATGTAGGGCACACCGATGGCGTCACGGCCACCACCGCTCGGCAAATTTGGCACTAAACATCATACAAAAGGTTGACCTTTCCCCCGCAAACTAGATGCTTGCGACGCAAGTATGATGATGATGATGATGATCATGATGATCATGATGATGATGATGATCATAGTGCTGCTGCTGATGATGATTTCGGTGGTTATGGTGAAGCAGTAGTCAGTAGTCGTGAAAGCTTCAGGCGGTTCGGCAGCTGCAGCCACGTCAGCAGCGCAAACAATAGTGATAGTGGTAGGAGAGTAGTAGCAGTAGCAGTAGCAGTAGCAGTACCTGTTGTTGTTCTTCTTCTTCTAATCGTAGTCATAGAAACAATGGGCATAGTGGTAAAGCATAGGAGTATGTTAAAGTGACACCACTTGTGAGTTTTCTCGCTAAAGTTGAGGAAGGGCAACCAAAATGAAATGACTGCTCCACCTTCGAAACCCCTCTGCGCTTCCCATGATTTCTGGGTTCATGGTTTCCTCTGATCGCCACGAGACGCCAGGCAGCCCCCAGAACCAAAGTCATGGACGGCTTCTGCAAGACGCAACTCTTTGAGTTTAAGGAGAAATGCCTTGATTGCAGCAGCGGGGATTGAATTTCGCGAGCGTGCGATTTCATGCGCAGCGTTTGCGCCAGGGAACTTTGGCAGACATTTTGTACCTGTTGTGTGTTATGCAAAAGCCATCCCGAACAAGATCATGCTTCAACGATTTTTTTGTGTTGCTGGAAACAGTCGCAGTGTGCGGAGCGCCAACCAAACTAAGCATGGGCAACCCGTGTGCACTCCACATTTTGCACTGCAATTGGTGCGCCCCAACGTGTTGACACATCTTGCCTGGATGATTTTTGCGTGACCTCATGAGAATTCTAGGCAAGGTGGACCCAACCAAATACGGGTCTCGCAAACGCAATTGGCAAAACTAGCCTTCTTGGTGGACTGATGCGTGCTTTTTAAGTCTCGCAATTGCATTGACTCGGAAGAGCACGCTTTCCGTGCAGCTCGGAACCACTTCCACCGATGGATTCGTCATGCAAGGGCGAGTTTTTGGTAGAGTTGGCTGACACGCGTCGAGCGCATGCTTTACGTTTGCCCACGCACTGCTACACGATTTGTGCGGCGGCGCTTTCATCAAAACACACCCAAGGTTGCGTCCGTGTTATGTCCTTCATCTCATGCCAACCAGGCTGAACAACGCCAGAAGAAAGGGCATTCTGCTTCATTACAGCCCACATGTGGTGCATTATGCGATGCGATGGCTGTTGAAGGGCACGTTCTTCCGTGGTCGACAGCTCGCCAAGAAATATCTGAATGCATGGTTCCATGTGGCATAGTGTTGCAAAATGCGGCAAAATCATCATGGACAAGGGGAGCTGCTTCGCGGCCATGTGTGTCTTCCGGTCCTTGGTACACAAACGGTTGATCTTCAGGCAACGATGGCACAGATTGAGTGTTGGTTTCTTGCAACAAGGCAGTGTCACAAGATTGGGAACTCAGAAAACAAACAATCTCAGCAATTCGAGTTGACGGCCATTCTTCAGACTTTGGGGATGTCGACGCTGGTGTAGGACAAGGACTCGCCGGGGCCGACAAATTCTCGACATGATCCCGCGAGGTGAATGCCAGACCTGAAAGGTGCAACGGGTTGCAGAAATCCACAAGGCATGCTCATGAACATGCCGCCGCGGCATGCCGTGCAGTTGCGCGTTTAGTGGCACATTTGTTGACCCCGCAAGGAAGCGTTCGGCGCACATCATCTGCGCATGTTGACATATATGACATATGTTGACGATTACTGACGTAATCGGATGCCACACTGTGCCAAAACCAACGTGGGATTGTGGCACTGGGTGTCCCCATCAGCACGCCAGAGTTTATTATTGACGCTCATCTTCAAGCTGCCCTATCCTGCCAGGCTGACATTCTTCGCACTTCCCCATCCCTCCAGGACACCCAGGTCTCCTGGCTTTTGTTGTCGTGTTGTGCTGCGCCGCGGGCTCCGTACGTGTTGCGCACTCCCAACTAGGGGCACAAGTTGTTTCATGATGCCGCTGTCGCCACCTGCCTTGAGTCGCTTCTGTTTCCCGAGAGTGATTCTGGCTGCCGGCTGTTGCTGTAGCCGGAGCCCAGCTCGCACTCCGCCATTGGGGATTTGGCCTCCACAGCGCTATCCGGCATGCGCCTGCTGTCCATTGGGCTTCATGGGCCGATGCTTTTCCTGCCATTGCCTCAGAAACCGGCCCTTCGCCACGCGGCTCCACGATCTCCTTAAATGAGATGTGGCCTTGCCAGCGCCACTTGCGGCCCTCAACTCTGCGCAGGCATGCCTCCTGGCGCTTTGCTTCGAGCCTCCATCCAGCTTAAAATGACGTGCCAGTTGACGATATTGGCCACAGGGCCATCCTCCGTGAGCTCGATGCAATGTCCAGAGCCCTGCTGGACGTGGCCTCGCAGGCTGGACCGTTTGCTGCGCGTGTCCTAACCGCAAGGCCCAAACTCGTGCTAGAAACGCCGCTATTCCGCGCTATCCTGTTTCGCCGGCTCCGATTGCCGTTGCCACTCACTGCAGCCCACTGCCGATGCTGCCAGAGAAGAGCCGGATCAAAGTCATTGCCAACGGGTTGCCCTTGTGGGGGG